CAGACGGCAACTAAACTCCCACCCAGTTGCTCGCTTACTCCCTTGCAGCTTGATGGAGGAGAGAATATGGAGGGCAAAACGAGGAAAAAACCTCCTGGGTTGCAATTAAGACAGTTTAATAAGTGAAGAGAAGAAAAAAGAAAAACAAAACAAAAAGGCAAGAGGAAACAATTGATGCAAATGCAGTCACCCGCCACCAGCAGATCAATGCTGGAGCAATGGCTACTTGGAAAAACTCTCCCTAATTTTGCTGCTGAGCACGATGTTACATGGTGTGGAATGTCACTTTGGCCAGCTGAGGTTCCAGCTGTGTCCCCTCCCAACCTCCTGCCAACGGCAGCCTGTACACTGTGGGTGCAAAGTGAGAAACAGAGAAGGCCTTGATGCTGTGCAAGCACTCTTCAGCAATAGCCAAAATACCAGTGTGTTATCAACACTGTTTTGGTCACAGATCCAAAACACCACACGGGCTGCTGTGAAGAGAAGTAACTCCATCCCAGCCAGACCCAGCACGAGGGCGGGCAGGGCATTCTCGAAATGTGTTCCCTGAGATTGGAATATTGTTTTCCTCTCACCCTTTTAAATGTGAGACTTGAAAATGCCAGTTAGCTGTTTTTGCCATATGAACAAAAACAGATGCAGGGAGGAAATGCTTTTTCTAACTCATGTGAAGTTCAAGTATCTCTAGATAAATAGGAGGAAAATGTTCTGGGAGTTTCAGGGAGTTGGTTCATTTTCTTTTTCTGTGAGTTGTCAGGTTTATCAGTAACAGTCTTGCTGCAAGTATCAGTCCTGAACTGGAAATACCACTTCTCGCTATTCAGGTGGGGCCTTTAAGTAAATACACATTGTTGTTGTTCGCAGAATTGCTTTGGAATTTCTTGGTTCAAAAGCTTTTAGCAAAGATTCATATCACCTGAAAGGAGAACCTGCAGTGAAAAAACGACACCTGGAAATGCTGGGTTACCGGGTACTTCAGGTGAGCAGTCAGCAGTATTTTGTGTCCTTCCTGACTTGTATTGATAATGTAGATTAATACATTTGCCTTTAATAGTTAAAAGCACTTACTGGGTGAGAGCAGTTTTTGTATTTTGGGGGGAAATTCCAAGCTGTTCTTCAGATGATGTAAGGACTTGATAGAACTTGCACCTTCTCTGAAAGTGGCTGCAGTAAAACTGAAGTCAGAAGGTCTCATTCTTACCTTCCTGCAGGCAAACTAGCAATCTCAACGTAGCCTGAGTGAAGGAGAAGTGAAACGAGAGTTTCAGTTCAATTCACCAGTGATTTCTGCACTAAAAAAAGATTGAACATACTCTCCTTGAGTGACAGAGAGACAGTTACGGCAGCTGCAAGATGGGATATGGACGGTGTCTGCTGCAGTGATAGTGCTGAGGCAGGCACGACTAGTGGCCAGAGAGAATTCACAGCCACCGGCACAGAAACATTTGGGTAATGGAGGCTCATGAATGCAGATTCCTCTGTATATGTAATTACTCACCTACTCTCATTTTAGCTAGAATCCTTCTTCAAGCTGAAGCTTGGTTGGGTTTTTTTTAACAGGATAATCATGCTTTCTCATATCACCCTGACGGTAAATGTTACATTACTGGTATGCCATTCTAGTTTGATACATTAATATTACAAACTATAGTAACCTGGGATTTTTCTCTCGATTTGGGTTTCAAAAGGTGGGAGATGGTGTAATGGAGTTGTCGTAGCCTGTATTGCGTAGGCATCTGCTTTGCATCTCTGCAACTCTCCTGCTTCTTGGAAGCAAACTGACTGTGCTTACATGGAGAAGAATCTCACAGTTAGAAATTGATCTTTTCAGTATTAGAATAAGCCTAGCTTTTAGAAGGATACAGGTGATAAAATATTTTCAAGCGGAGAACAGCAGGTATCAGAGAGCCTTTTCCCTGCTGAGGTGTTATGTGGCTTATACCGGTGTTAACACCCAGTTTGGATGATTCTGTTCTACAGATTCCTCACTTCGAATGGAATTCTATGGTTCTGTCGACAAAAGGCGAACAGCTAGAATATCTGAGAAAGTATCTATATGGAATACAGTGATGTCAGGCATGCGGTCACAAGTACTTTTTATACAAACGCTTTATGTACCATTAAACTTCTTGTCATCCTGGAATACTTAGTTTCAAAAATCTCTTTTTCTGCGAGTCAGCTGGACCAAGGCTTGCCATGGGGCGTCAGGTGTCAAGAGATGTAATCCTCACTTTGTTAGGGATTGCAAAAGGCAGGTCACAATGCGCCATGAAGATGTGATAAGGATGCTAAAGATCTCCCATTACCTGGAAGCTGTGCTTTAGGTACATGAGTCTGCGATAGTTTTGCCATAAAATTACATTATTACCTCCTAAATAAATAGCACAGAAGCTTAGCCAGGCATAAAACTGTCCAAAGAAAAAGTTGGAAATACTCTTTACTGTGAGAGAGGAGGCAGCAGATCTACTGGAAACTATGTCAGCCCTCCAGCATGTGACAGAATGAGCAACAGGGATCAAACAGGATCTGTACTGTGAAACCAAGAAACTGAAGTGCAGATTTGCTAAGAATAGGGCTGCTATTGCAGCCGTTCTGTTGCCTCTTCCAGAACAGAGGAACCGTGGGTGACTCTGTCGGGGGAGGGTGCTGTGCGCTGAGCAGCCTCCAGCTGCTTCTCCTACCCTGTGGTGTGGCGTGTGCAGGAGAAGCAATGGCTCTAGCCTTCTGGAACACCTTCGCATACTTAAAGGAGAGACTAGTTCTAGAGGTCTGGCAGCCCCCCAGACCCTTGAAACACCCATACTCCAGTTAAATGCAACTTGGAAGGGATACCAAAGAGACTTCTACAAGAGAAGGAGAGAATAATGCTTATGTCAGACGTAGGCACTTACAAGCAACTAGATAAATCATGAAATTTATTATTATGGCATTATGCATTGGACTAGCCCTTGCTACTAGAAATAGAACAAAATTAGACAAACCATCTAACCTGCCTCTTCTGTAAATAAGACAGTGTACAAAACAGCAAAATTAGGCTGAAAATTGAAAGCAAGAATCAAGACCAAGAAAAGCCTACAGAGAATGACAACCACCTTGGTTAGTGGCGGTAAGAAACATTGCTGGTTTGTTTATCATGGTTCAAAACCATCTGCCAGTTACCAGGCTTCCTGTGACCGTGCTCAGCCAAGGTTTGTGTCAGGAGGCGTAAGATACTGAGACGTGGAAGGAAAAAGTGGAACAGCCAGGAGAAGGTTCATGGTACAGCAGTAACTGTGGAGTGGTTGTACTTCCGCAAATCAGCCCATTTCGGGGGCAGCCATTTTGTGACTACAGCTGCTGTTGCCTCATAATGACTGCTGGCTGTGCCCATCTCTCTCACACACACGTGCGTGTTTTCTTGCCGTTTTAGTAGAAGCAGTAGACATTCTTTTTACCACTTCCTTTGAAACCTGGCAGAGGTAAGCAACTGCATTTCTGAATTGACCATTATGCACCTGGCTGTCACTTTTTTTTTTTTAATTACTCAGTAGTAGAAGAAAAGATTTTTGTTGACTGAACACAAATCAGGACAGGAATGAGCCAGGAAACCCAAACAGAACTGATCTGAGCTGCAGGGTGCTCTTCTGCGGCAGCCCTCACATTTGTGGGATGACTGAAAAAATAGTAGATGGCTGTCTGCTTATGGTATCAAGGGGTCAGGGGCTCTGAGACGGAGCAGATGAGTGCTTTGAGGAAATGTCATTGAAGGCACAGCACATGGGAAGACTGTATGCACATTATATTTTGTATAAAATGGAAAAGACAATTAAATACAGCTTAGGATCTGAGACAGTGGGCTACGCATCAGGGGGCTCTTGCATGCCCCTGCTTCTGTACAGATGACCTTCAGGTAGCAACCTCAGAGTGTCAGAAAGGTGGCAGTGGCTGAAGGGGCCGGTCATGGGTGGTCATGTGTTTGAGATGAACCCTGCCTTTCAGGTACCCAGCAGTCACTTCAAAGATCTTCAGGTTGGATAAAATCATGAGTATTCACAATGGGGAGAGGATTAAAACTTGCTATGAGTGGATTTAGAAAGGGCATCTAAGAAAATCAAAATACAGGAGTGTTTCAGTAAAATGTGCTGCTTTTGATCCTGTGCAGTCATTCTTTCTAAATTAAATCAGCAAGTGTTGGAGCAGATGGGCTGGTGTAAACCAGTGATTTAACTGGAGCCAGCGAAAAGATGCTAAGAACAGCTGAAAATTTGGGTACTAAAGGGGAAAACAGGAAAGATGTCCCACAGATTAAGCGCCGGTGTACAGCAACATGCTGAAATGAACCACGATGGCTGTGCCTTTGCCATGTGTTTACCTCTGTCACCTAGGAAGGCAATGCAAGGGGCCATTTGATCATTGGAATTGCTATTCGGTCAGGTACAGTGGGCTGCTTTTCCAGTTTTCCTGCTACATCACTTGTAATTAGAGTTATGACATCCTTTAGGTTTGTGACACCCTCTTTATTCAGTGGAGAAATCCTTTGAAGAGAGACTCTGTAATAAAGTTGTGGGTATGCTCTACTTTAAGAAAACGGAGTGCTTGGTTTTGGGCGAAGGCTGTACTAATAAATCTGTGTCCTGTCACTGGTGGTGATGATGAGCTCATCACTAAAAGAGACACCATCAAGTGATAACTTCTATAGTTTGAAAAACAAAGTTTAATTGTTAAAAATTTCAACATCAAAAGGCATAAACTCTTTGTTAGATGAAAAAGTCCTCTCTGCCATAGGTATTTGCTGATGATCAGTTCTTCCAGGACTTCTTCATGAATGCTTGTTAATGGCCTCAGATCTCTGAGAAAAACTTCCATGAAATATTTGCTTTGGAAATAAATATAAAAGCATAAAAAAGTGGAACATCCTTGCTACCAGAAACTTGTGAACTCTCCCTTTCTTCACGTCTGGCTACTAGTACAGCTTTGGCTGAGATATTGGCATTTCTTAGGCCAGAGTATTAGGCCATTTTTGTTTTCAGTATGCACTTCAGTTGCAGGCTAAATTATTTTTAGAAGGCTTTACTGAAAATATTTTCAAGATATGACTGAAGAATGCAGGATTTACATACATTGCTGAAGGGGGAAATCAGGCTGTACGAACAGCCAGTTAGAATAAAAATAGCTACCTACTAGTTGTATTTAACTTAACAATTAATTCATAGGCGTTGTTTGGAGGATAAGCCACCACTATCCTGGATTGTCTGATTGTAAGGAAGTCTAACTAGTTCTATTGGCAATTTCACAGAGTGAAAAATGGAGTTCTCTCCGAAATCTTCATTTATTCTAATCAACATTAATTAGAATTCTTCAGGATTTTAAACGTTGGCAAAAATTCTGTTGTTGTTGGTTAGCCTCTAAATATCTTACGACTTGGACAGACAGATGAAATGTTTAACAGTTAACAGTATAACTAGTATGCTGCTACAAAACTCTGTACAATTTGGGGACATTTCCATGCAACAAACCCAGAAGAACCTATCGAAACTCCTTCACCATACCACGTTTTCCAGCATTTTGTTTACAGTTTTGATAGCTTGAAGAGGTTTAAGCGGGTAGCCAGGCAGGAGGCTCCAGTAGCATATCGGATCTCTTTCAGTATGCCAATCCACTCCTTCTTTTCATCATCGTACCTGCATTTAACAAAATAAGGTCAGAACACAGCTTCTTAAAATTGGAGTTTGATGCTTCATCGCACATACATGAAAAGGGGGGATAGTCTGCATGTTCCCAAGGCTTGTAGCAACCCTGTGCTGAAGGATGCCACAAAAGGCTGCGTTTGTCCTCCAGAACAGAACATGCGCATGTGAGTTATCTGTTTCCTGTCATACTTTAATTACTTCTGTAAAAGCTTCCTCTGTGTCTTAAGCATCTTCAGGTTCTTACATATAAAGGTGTTTTTTCTGGGAATTCTTCCTATCCTTCTGCCAGTTAAAACTCCTGAATTTACCTTAGCAACTGAAGAGTTGTCACTGCTACCATGATTTAGATTAAAAAAAAAAAAAAATCTAGGAGATAGGGATTTCTGATTCTCTTGGAACAATTACTCATTTGACTATTAACACAGGAATATAGACAAACCTCTGTGTACACAGGCTTTTCTGCATAAGAATGTCACGAAACAGAGAATGGTTTTACAGTACACTTACAAGGCTACACCTGCCAAGAGACAGGGTAACTTACTCTTTTAAGGAGTAAAAGAATCTGAAGATCATGACTCAGACTGTTCAAATTATTAGCAGGTGGGAGTAGCCGTTAGATCCAAGTCTCACGTTTATTTGTCACTTTCTGACAAACATTTCTGTCAACAAGTGCTTTATAACCTGTGCTATGGTTCATTTCCAGAGTTAAAGAGAAAACCAATTTTACCCTCCAGTGTCCACAAGCCTCAGTTTTAAGTATAGCTTTCCAGCAGGAAAGCATGATTAAAATTAAACTTACTTCCATATGTCAGTGACTTCACTGGGTGCAAATTCTTTAGATTCAAGCTGAATCATTGCAAAGCCTCCAATAGCGTACAAAGCTCCACTTAAGGTGACTAAACTGATGGAACTTCTCTCTTGGGGAAATTCAGGCATAATCTCCCACCTAAAGATGAAAAGAAAAACCTAAGTTAAACACATGAGACATATCCTAAACTGAATGCACTCAAATACCCCTCTGGGTGACAGAAATTCAGGTACCAAGGACCACTTGAGTGAGTGGTTTAGTAAAAAGAACAAAATCTGAGATTTATCAGCAGTGAGTTTCCGCGTCTCCATCCCCACAGGGATGTCCTGCAGGCCTTCAGTGACGGAATTACACCGTGATGACATCTCTTCCCAGAGGCCACTGCTTACAGGGCGCCTGGTCCCATCATCAGTAATAGGCTTCATGCAGATGTATTGTCCCCCAGCTACTCTCATTTTTTTCCCTATAGTTTCCAAAATGCATATTCATTTCAAGTGACACTGACAGAATAATTCAACTAAAAAAAAGTCATTGGAGCTGATTAGCATAATTTCAAATTTTCTGCCACTTCACACCTATAAGCATGTAAAATATCCAGACATCCCACTTCTGGATAATGTCAACATCAAAACCAACAGGCTAATTTGCCTCTCTTGCTTGTGTGACTTGACTGTAACAAAATGGAGTAAAGCAAGACCAGAACCTGCACATTTTTCAGCCCACAAGCTGCACGTGTTTCTGAACAATGGAAGAGAAGAATGTGCTAAACATCATGGTAACAAAATGACCTTCATTTTCCTTTGCTTCCTATAGAAGGTGTGAAGTCCAAAGTTCCCTCACAGAATTACTTCTTGCATATTCATAGTTTGTATTGTTAAATTTTATAAGCAAGCCTAGCTTTGGGATAGCATACATTGAAGTTAAAACTTTTGTTGTAGGTTGATGCCACCTGTCAGTGACGACGGCACAGCTAAACGTGTTCATGTACCGTAGAAGTGCTTATTAATAAAATAAAGGTGCATCCAGGAACACTTACAAGTTTGAGCTATGATAATAAAGCTTTACTGATATTATTATAAATAAAAGTTTGTAAATAGGATGATAGGAAGGAAAAGTAACAACAAGGAAAATTAAGAGTAGGAAGACACAGATACAGAGGGTATAAAGTCCTGGAAAATCACAAACATTTTGGGGATGTTGGCTGCAAAAGATTCTGGCTATGAGGAAGAACACTGGAAAGTATCTGGATCAAATAAGTCAGCTAATTCCAGGTATGACTTCCTATCTTTTGTCATTACTTTATAGTATTTCAGAGCACGCACTTTAAATTCAAAGTATTCCTGGAGTTTTTGTACTAAAAAATAAGCAGAATGCCTGTCACTAACTACTGATGAATGGTGTTTGCCGTCACAAGGTAAGTGAACAGCAAGACTTCACAAGGCCGTGTACCCAAAGGATGTTCAGCTGGTCCTGATCAGGCACCCAGGTTCCCTTGCTGGGGTTTCAGGTTTAGTGCCAGTGCGGTTTCAACTCAATTGCATGGCCCTTGCCAATCTCTCCCACTTCTCCCCAGTTACACCAGCACAGCTGTTTATGCGACTGTGTGGTCTACTACACTTGGGAATATTCAGACTTTAAAAAAAAAAGAATTAAAAAAAAGGATTAGAGGGTGAGTTATTGTTGCTACATGAGCTCTTTGATCATGTTTTGCAACGTAGCTATGCTAGCACAGAAAATGCGTGTGGGGGCAGGAAAAATGGCCAGAGATACGCGCCCTTAAGCTGGTGCTGCTTCTGCTGAAGATGTGAATGTAGACCAAGTATCCCAGGGGGAGTGTGGGCACCTGAGCACCTTTGTGACTTATCTGAGAGCTCCCAAAAGCCTAGACGATCAAATGCTTGCTTAAAAATAGCTTGGGTATTGCACTCACTTATTGGTGGTCAGGTCAAAAGCTTCAACAGATGCAGTAAGGCCTTCTTCAGTGACACCACCTGCAATGACAATCTTGCCCTTATGGATAGCCGTCCCAAACATAGAGCGAGCCACTTTCATTGGAGCCAGGTCTCTCCAGTCCCCTTTCTTGGGATTGTATACAAATAGTCTGTTAGTGCATTTCCTGGGGAGGAAAAAGAAAACCTGCCATCATTTCTAATGAACTTCTCGCTTGTTCCAAGCAAGACCTAGTTGAGGTGGATGGTATGATAAGACCCATTTCTGCTCCGTGAGATCCTTTCTTGTATCTGTCTCATCTGGGAATCTTTGCATGTCTACAAAGCACTGATCACACCCATGGAACTAAATCAAATGTTAAATGCTGCTTACACAGGGCAGCAATTTCACTGTACCTTACAGGAGAAAGTCAATGTCCTTTCTCAGCACATTCTATTCAGATGGATTTGTGAAGGAATGTATGACAAAGGTTATAAAAGACAGATTATGCTGCTCTTTTGGCTGATTTGACAAGCTTGTATCTTAAATTTGCCCTATACAAACCCTGAAAACTTACCACCACATGCTCAGTGTGAGCAGAAACTTTGATTTTCCTAATGTTACACCCATTAAGGTGGAACAGGCATCACAGGTCAGAAAAGTTGAAAGACTGACACAGTAATTCCATGGCACCTAAATATTCCTATCTGGAAGGAAATAATACTTTCAGTGAGGGTCCTCATAGCTATCTATCACTAATGTGTCTGCCTGGTAAGTAAAATTTGCCTTAGAACTAAGTACAGTCATTAACATAACTAGAGGAGATTACAATTTATACACAGTTTTACCACATAATGAGAAAGATAACCTATATACATGTGTTCCCCTCTGCCAAAGAGTTAGCAACCTTAATCCAGAGATGTGAAAAAAGGAGACCCTGATTTCTGAGCGTGAGGACACATCATCTATAAAGGACCAACCAAATAATGTTGTAAATTGTCAAGAAAAGACTTAGACACTCACTTGTCATCAGTTTTTCCGCCAAGACAGTGTATCAACCCATTGTTTGAGATAGTAGCATGACCATACACTTTGATGGGTAGTTTTTTGATCTCCCCCCATTTCATTGCCCTGGAAGAAGAAGAGTATCACCGTCAGGCTCTTTCGACTAACAACGGGCTATTTAGAAGCCCTCAGTGGGCACGATGAAATTTTAAACATACACAGGATCGTAGCACAATACTGAATCCAGAGACTCCTCAGTGCGAAGGTCCTTGCCTGCGATGACATAGATCTTGCTGTCAGACTCCCCCAGCCCGAAGAGGCACCTGGCTGACGGCAGCGGAGGAAGGGCAGCCCACTCACCAGCGATGCTATCCAGCTGAAAGTGCATCAGAATACAAAGTGTTAGGAAAGGCGAATAGTAAAAATCCACACAACGAACATCGTTTCACAAAATTAATTGCACTCAGTGTGTCCCAACAGCTCACCTGCTTGCCTGAACAACCTGCCCTTCCCTCAGCACAGCTAATGAATGATGACTTCTACCCACCCATGCTTCATGGTGCTCAGACCTGGCAGAGTCAGTGCCACACAGCTTGCTCCGCATCTACTCATCCTCACAGTTTCTTTCCCTCTTTACTATGCTCCTCTTCTTTGTTTAAAGGTCCCTCACTCTTTGGGTTTCCCACCGCATGCTGGAAAGAATAAGCTGTTGTTCTTCCTGCCTGCAGGGAGCAGACACTCCTGCCGTGTCACACCTATACAGTTAGCTGTTGTGCTCCTCGCTCCAGTGAGAGATGCCAGACGTCCTCACATGGTTCCTCCTAACGATCAGGAAACATTGCATGGTAAATGGCACAGATGTTTCTTCTGCAGTCCCTAGAGCAAAAGAGGTCGTGTTTCATCACAAACACCCTCAAAAACTCCTGAGATCTCTGAAGGCACAATGAATAAAGACTTCACTCCTAAGCAAAAAAGGCAGGCAGTGCAGCTCCACTGGCAATAATATTCGTGTCATCTCTGCTGAAGTACTCCCATGTCCGTCTCAGTTCACATCCAGTATGTGAGAACACCTAAGGAGAAGCAGCAGCAGGAGGACAGAAGAAAAAACAATCCAACGAAAAGATTCTCCTAGAACTGTGGTGCTTAATTTTTGGTTTGATCCGAGAACTTACAATTGAATCTGAACGCTCCCTAACATTCAAAAAGAGTATTTTCTCTCTTCTATTGCATAGAGATCTGCTTGACAATGTACAGGAAGGGAAGGTAAAATGTGAGTTTGCGTGAGCGTAAAGGCGTCTGACAGGAAGCAAGAGAAAGTTCAGTCAAAGTACTCAGATCGAGGTTTAGCTCAGTGACATCCTTTTTCTAGAGGTAGGTTCCACAGCCACGCTCCCCATGCTAAAATACATCTCCCAGGTTCCACAGACCACCCATACTGGACAGGAAGCTTTATTGCAACAGTGAAATTCAGTTCATGGACATGGGCTGCCCCAGTAGCTGGAGCTGGGAGGTGCAATGGGGAGAAGATGTACCCATTACAGATCACAGCACGCATAGCGGATCAGTCTTGGAGATGACACACCTACTGATGATAGGGTGTAAACTAGTTGCACATTTCTGAGCCAGTGGCAGCCTTGTTTTCACCTGGGTTGCTAGCTACCAGATAAAACGCTAACAGGTGCTTCACTGATGGAAAAAGGGAGATTAGCAAGTGAAAATCGATTTGGCCTCACTTTAACATTTTAGAGGGAACAACAGCCACATGGGCAATGCAAAGTATTTTAACTCTAGCCAGCAGCAGCAGCAAGCGAGCTTAAAGGTGACAAGTGAGAGAGCAGGATGTATGTGAAATCGCAAGGAGCCATACTCCTATAAACACTTAATAATTGCACTTTTTTAATAGCTGAAGGCTTTATTCATATTGAAACAGGAACTACTCTCACCCTTTTAGGCCAATGTGCCTAAAGACAGGACATGGCCAGCAGCATATTGCATAATTCACCGTGAGCTAGTTTAAATACCCCCAAAGCATGTAGCCAGGTAGCTAAAAACACAACAGAATTAGTTTCTGGTGTAAGCATGCCAAATTGTATTTTTGATAATTTTTCTCGAATGTGTTGCAGAAGTTACAGTTTGTTTTAATTGGCCTTCTATTTATACAGATTTACAAAGATAGAAAATCATGCTCTTGGTTGAAGCATGGTATTTAGTGTACTGACATTGACAGTTTGCCAAGAAAACAAGCTTCTTCCTCTAAATTATGTATTTTAGAATGCCCTTAGGTTTTCAGATGTAAATGTGACAAAAGGACTTCCAAAATTCTAGTGACAGAAAGGACATTTAAAATTTGCACTTTACTGCTGTCCTAAAAATATTTCAGATGCAAAAAAAGAAAGTCATGTCATTAGATCTAAAGCAGCTAAGCAGTCAACTTTCATGGAAGTTAACAGAAATTCACAAGAGGTATTTGACAAAAATATTATTAGAATTAACTTTAGGCATCTGTACCATGAAAAATCTGGGCCTTAAACAATGAAAGCCGGTGCCTAGATACAACATACTAATCCTTTTCATCTTTTCTGCGATCTCACCAGGGGCTTGATCGTGACAGAGAAGATGCAAGTCCCTTGGTTTCATTGCTCTCCCCGAGACAAGGATAGCTCTGTCTAGATACTTCTCTCCATTGACCATACAGAGAGACCGGACAACTCCCATAGAAATACTTTCCAGTAACTCTTATCAGCACCTGTTATTGCACCAGCAATTCTAAAGCTTATACCTGGAAGAAGTATGACTGGAAAGGCTGGTCCTTGTTCTCCTCTTCCACATACAGTCCTCCAACAATGTAGACCTGATTTTGTTTGGTGACTATACTGGAATGGTTTCTGGGAATCTGTTCTGCCAGGGCTGCTAGGTAGCATTCGTTTTCAAGAGGATCATAAGCTACCGCAGCAGTGTCGTTAACCAGAAGAATCAGGTCTTTGACAAACATGCCGTGCCTGGGAAGGTCATTTAGGTAGCCAGGCAGTAAATCTTCATCTCCGACATCGCCATTCACCTCCCCTTTGGTTGACTTTTCTGTACTTTTGCTAGAGTCAGGCAGTTTTCCTGCAAAAGCATCTTTAATAATCTTTACTTTCTTCTGAAGGTCTGAGTTGCTTTTAATTATATCATCCTTCTCAACATGGTCTTTGAAATATTTTTCTGGCATCAGACGAAAACGTATGCAGTCAAAAATTTCCCCCAGGCTCTTTACTCTGTTCTCTTTGTCTGCTCGGACCCATCTCATTACTGCTTCAAATACCAGCTCTTCCTTCTCTACGTTTAGGCTGTCAGGTGAAATAACAGAGACAAGTTCATGCGGGGCAAGCTGCATGAAGTCCTCCTCTTTGCAGATCTGCACAAAATGATCTGAAACAAAATCACGGGCCGAAAATGCAAGTCTTGGGCAATCAAGCAGAACGCCTAATCGCAGGATGGCCAGACAGTTACCAACAGCAAGCCTCTTCTGAAGGTAGGAGACGCACACAGTGAATACAGAAGGGATCTGAAAGCGACTGGCCAAAGCAAAAATATCTTGCACGTTAGAATCATTAAGATCAATACTGGCTGAATAAAGGTATTTGACAATCATATCCAGGACGTTGGGGTCAACATTATCTAGAACTACCTCCTTCTTTTTCTCTTCATTTTGCTCAGATAAGAAATACTCACGAAAATAAGGGCTACATGCTGACAGAATCAATCTGTGGCAAGGCAGGCTTCTGTCACCAGCTTTTAGAGAGCAATCTATGAACTTTTTCTCTTCGAGGAGTTCCTTGAGGCCATCCTGAAGAAGGGTGGATTGGTAAAGTCTGAGCTCTTCAGTGAGTTCCCTCTGGGAATCCATTTTGCAAATACTTGGGAAAGGGGAGGGAGCAGAAAACTTTAGCTGCTGCCTGCCCAAAGTTCTGTCCGTGAAAAAGGCAGACCAACGTACTTTGCCCTGTCCGAAGCCTCTGCAACTTAATCTCGCTTGCTAAATATAGGTACATACTCTTACAGGTCGGAATGTAGGATGGGTGCTTTGGAAAAAAAAAAAAAAAGAGTTGGTCTCGCAGCTGTCAAAAACTGAAAGAAGCAACTGTTGCTTTTAGTCACTACGGCCAGGCTTCGCCATCATCCTCCACGCTGAATCAATGAGATTATGTGCAATGTAAGACTTTATGTGACATGAGTAAGGACAGCAGAATCTGACCCTCAGTGAGACAGCTATGAGCAAGATTGTAAATATACACGTTACCAAATATTCTGGAATAGAAATATTATTAATCAAATTGTCAGTTGCAATTACTGTTCGCTTTTTCAGAGTTGCTTAGTATATCTCATTGCTGCAGTCATAAAAATATTTAAAAACTCCAGAACTTTGAATCAATTATCTATGCTTTAAGATTATATTTTTAAATACCCATATCACATCTGCAATTTCTTCAGATATTGATAATAAGACTTTGAAATTCATTTTGAGCTTCTTCTTAATATCCATTTGGTCTTATTTATTTGTAATCAAAACCCTACTGTTTGGACATTAAATATATGTTATTCGGGTAAAGTTCAGCTTTCAAAAATAATTTAAAATGCATTTTCCACCCTCCAGTAACAAATATTTCAGATATTCTGTAGATATTATCAATCCTTTCAAATTCAGCTGTACTAGAAATGATGTGAACTGCTGTTAAACTAAACTGAAAACACTACACAGGAGAGGTAGACCAGAGAATGGAAAACATGTAATCCACCATATTAACATTATTTAATGGATGTGTAATTTAAAAAACCTAAAAAAAATTCTGAACTTAAACTAAAAATTCCCCAAATCAGACAAGTAGTATGAAAAGCGAATTTAGAAAAACTATGCTTATATTGAAGGTTTCACAATTTAATTTTTATTAAAGGTGGCAATACCAATCCAAAATAATTTGAAATTTAAAGTTGTTTAATGTACCTTGATGAAGGACTTTATTTTGCCCATACAGAGAATGCTTTTTACCATATGGTAAAATGTTCTTTGAATGTAACGGAAACAGGATCAAAACACAACTATTTGAATGCAAGATGAATGAGGTACAACATTATCAAAGTTTATTGAAATTATGATTGCTTTTCAATATAGGTAGTAGATCATTAAAATACATACCTTGAAAGATTGTCTACAAACACCACAATTATATTCACACCACAGTTACTATAACAGTCAGCTGCTAAAACAACAGCTGAGAGCAGAGCTCATTTGACTTTTTCCACTTATAGAAAATAGCGCAGAGGTCTTCTCTCACTAGAAAATGTAACAGCTGCATCTTCCTTACAACAATAAATGACTCATTTCTCTCTAAAACATAACATCATAAAGGTCTAATGACAGACACAGAAGCTATTTGTGTGTGCACTTTTTTCTAGATCATTCCTTAAAAAGTGGTCTAGCCAAAAAAATAATAATAATAAAAAAACTGTATGAGGATATATCTGGATCATAATTAAGTAACTGGAATGATATGTGCTGAACATTTAACAAAATTACGAGACATGAAAACTATATCTGGATCAGTGTTGCTTTTTGTCAGTTATCAGTAACGCAGCGCTGCTGCAATGACACAGCCAATATGCCTTGATACAGAATGTTCTGCTATGGCAATATTTCTATGCTGCACAACATTAAACAAGTTATGGAAATTTGATTCAGATATAATCATTGAGGGAAAGTACATCACTGTGTATAAATACATGAATACTTTTAACTGAGCATCAAACCATATACCCCACACTGCCCCATCACAAATGGTGACCTCCCTGTACGGAGGAGGAGGCGGCTTCCTTTTCTGACACAATTCCAGGTAAAATGGTCGGTGGTGGCTGGCCCTGGCAGCCAATCACAGCGCAGGATGTAAACACATGGGTCATGAAGTTAAAAAAAAAAAAAAAAAAAAAAAGGGGGACCCTGGGTTGTTAGGGCAGGGGGCTTCCTGCTGTGACAGCCTTCTGGGGGAAGCAGGATGGGGTGGCTGGCTCTGCCAATCACACGCCTGAAAACACCTGGGGTACCAGTGTGTCAAAACCCAGTGTCAACCAATCACACAGCAGTATGGAAACATGTGGGGGTATGACCTTTTACGTAATGGCAGCTGAAATAAAATGGCAGCCACCCTGCATGCAGTGAGGCGGGACTTCCAGGTCCCTGTACCTGACAGGAGGAGGGGAGGAACTTCTCTGGTCCTTGCACCATGTGACCAGAGGAAGGGCGGGACTTCTGGCACTTGTGGATCACGTGACTGCCTGCAGGGGGCAGGGCTTCCAGCAGCGGCTGTGGCCCCGCCCTTTCTTACATCAGCTATGGGTGTCCTCCCACTGCTTACAGAAACAAGGTAATAAATAAAAAGCTTTTACGCATACGAGGGTTTTGCATAATCTTCCCTTTATGACCTATCCTGAGGACATACTACATAACATACGCCTGCTCTCTACCTTTGGCATGTTCCTTCTCTGCTACTGCTGTATTGCTCAGTTCTCTTAACGCGTACCAGTCCAAATCAGGTCATCACTTCCCACAGTCCCTGGAGCGTGAATCCATCCTTTAGCTTCTCAATGGCAAGTCCCAGTTCTTCTGAAAAAACTGGCTCCCCATCATGTTGCTTTTTTGAATGCACGAGATATGAGAGAAAAGAAAATGAAACAGAAGATACTTAAGTAACTTGATTATCCCATTTTAAAAACAGGGATTTGATAGTATGAAAAAAGATGTTCTTACCTTGTTTTGATCAGCAAAATAAGCCTGCAAAAGAAAGAAAAAACAACTCAGCCTTGAGAAAAAAAAATTACAGTCTAAAACCAAATCTCCTAATATTTTCTTTAAGTCAAAACTGTATTTGGTAAGTTTTCTTCAACAAACCAGTCTGTATGGATTTTACTTTTGTTTTATAAACAAGATCAAAGTTTCTTCTATGCTGACATAATTCACAAAAAGGTTCTAACAGGAATTGGTGATTATGATATTTTTCATTAAATAACAGTCTTCAAATTTTCCATCATAATAAACAAAGATTTTTACATGGCAAAATTTTCATGTTACATTTGTTACACTGACAAATACTTCATACGGAATAAAATGTTAATACGAAGGCAAACTGACAGCATCCCAGTATCTTCCGCCTCATGTGCAGCAGCATTTCTTACTCAATTTCAAAAAATTACTTAAAATGTATACGCAGTATCAAAATTCAGTTAACATCATACGCAATCTAAGAAATGAACACAGAGTAACTGAACAATTAACTAAATTATTCTATTCTCAGACAGAGATCTGGGAAAGAAATACAATCTCTCCAATTCTGTGTGTAGGCAAACGAAGACTCAAACTCTTCAGGAACTGAGATCTCTGAAACTATCCAAAGCTCTTAAAGTCTCTGGACCAGCAGGCTCTAGATCTTCATATTTACCAAACAAAGCCTGATCTTGCTTCAGCTGCCCCTCTGGACTGGCAAGAGGCAGCAAAGAAAGTGTTTTCCTGCTCAGCTGGGTCTCAAGCTATACAAGACTCAACAGAACAGCATCAGCTGTCAAGTGTCGTGGAATATTGGTGTGGAGTCACTCCTTGGGTCCTGACTGAGCTGTGTCTCCTACAGCAACCACCTTCTAGTCATTTACATGACACAGTTATTAAATCCTGGTGATAAAAACACCAATAGCGCAAACAGAATCTACCTTGAAGGAAAAGGTCTTCAACTATGTTGAAGACTGAATAAAAATGTGCAGAAATGGAAAGAAAAAAAGGCAAAAAGTGAGGAAAAAAGAGGGAAAGGAACAGGTAAGAGCTTATCTGCATCGATAACTGACAGCAAAAGAAATGAGGGTGTAAATAAGATTGGTGTTAGTACTACTAGTTTACCAAATTTCAGAGAAGAGATATGAAAACATGTCAATTATCAGTGGGTCAAGGTGAGCTGTGGAAAACCTGGGCAGTCAATCATGCAACAATCATGCTACTGAGTTGCCCAGTAAATGTGGCGATTGCTAGAAGGAAGGTCATCACGCTCCCGGGGAACATAACGCATTTAGAAGTAAACTTTCCTGAAATCCTGGGAGATGGGTACTAACACAGTTTTCCATCCAGGAGAGACTCAAAATTATTGCTCCCTTTCTAAAAATCTTCCAAGTTTGAATCTTAGATGAATGTTGAGCATATAGATATCACCATTTATCAATCTGCTCCAAAAGAAGGAAGACTTGTTTTAATATAATGTATTTGATTGTATGATACTGCTGGTTTTCACGGTATTCCTGATCTTAATGTGTTGAGAAACTATATACAACTACTACTTTAAATATCTACTACTATTTATTTTGAATAATAGTTTGTTTTGAAGTTAAAAATCCATACACGGCATAAATTCCTGTAGTAATTTTGAACAAAAGGCGCGTAGGTGTGTTTTAAATATAGAAAGTTCAGTTGTAGCTTATCTTTAATAGAGGATTACAGCTGTACATTGCTTACAATTGAATAACCAAACAAGAATTATTTTATTTTTTAGTTTTCTGTGGAGCAGCTTACCACAAAAGCATCTGTATGTTCATCAGGTTCTATTTCCACATCATCTTCAACCTGCTCCACTGTTAGGTCTTCAAGAGGCTGAGGCTGCAAATTAAAACACTGGATTAAGTAAATCCATGTATCTAATATGTTTAATATATTTTTATTACTGCTGTTAACACATATTATATATAATTTAAAATACATGAGTGGAGTACCTTTTCTTCCATTTCATAATCCACTCCAAATATAGGGTTAGCTGAATAAACTCTGTGAAGTGAATTAATTTCTTTCACTGCCTCCTGTAGTTTCTCCACGGGGTCTATCTTAAAACCAAGTACATATCCTCCACTCTGTATAACAGAGAAAAAAAGACATTTTTATTAATGTGGCTTATTATTTAAACAACTTTTTCCCCTTGATGGAGACTTGCAGTTTAATGGTAGCAAATTTGTTTGCTGATAAAACTTCATCTTTATTTTGGTATTACTTTATTTTCATTATGCCACTTAAACCATGGGTGAAATAAAACCAATGACAACATTTCTCTATGAGGTAAATAAGCATTTAACTGTTAGCCCATCATATCAATGGGGAACAAACTTCTTACACAGACAACCAAAAGCAAACAAGGATGGGAGAAATTCAAGAAGCGATACTAATGATTTATTCCTAGCTACCTAGCAAATGTTTAGTCTGTTAGATCTTGATGTTGTTACTAAAGGTGGTTTCAGATACAGTAAATAAAGTTAGTGGAACTTAAAAAAAAAAATCACCACTAAAAGCATTTCTCATTAAGGTCAACATAAAGAAAAATAATTTTGTCTCTCAGCAGAATAGATAGGTAAGTGAAAAAGCTTTAAAATAACATTCTTAATTAAGCATAGAAGTAATTAGATCCCAAAGATAATAGCTCAGAAGGCACTGTTTTTAACCGTTATTTATTTTAACTAGTCATGCTGGCCTATTGCTGCTTTGCTTAGAGAAGCCATAACTCATGCTAGCCATACTGACCTTAACATACAGACATGTATGTTATGGCTGAGACAAGAGATGCTGGTCAAACTAAGGAAGAAGAGGGAACTGCACAGGCAGTGGAAGCAGGGACTGGCTTCCTGGGAAGAGTATAAGGAAGCTGCCCGGTTGTGTAGGGATGGGGTCAGGAAGGCCAAGGCACAGCTGGAGCTGAACTTGGCAAGGGATGCGAAAAATAACAAGAAGGGCTTCTACAGGTATGTCAGCCAGAAAAAGATGGTCAAAGAAAGCGTACCCCCGCTCATGAGCGAGACCGGCAAACTGGTAACAGCAGATGAGGAGAAAGCTGAGGAACTCAACAACTTTTTTGCCTCAGTCTTCACTGGCAACCTCTCTCCTCACCCCTCCCAAGTCGATGGATGGCATGAAGGAGACCAGGAGGGTAAAATCCCTCCAGCTGTAAGTGAAGACCAGGTTCGGGACCTCCTGAGGAACCTAAATGTACAGAAGTCCATGGGACCTGATAAGATGCATCCCAGAGTCCTGAGGGAACTGGCTGATGTAGTTGCCAGGCCACTCTTCACGATATTTGAAAAGTCATGGCAGTCAGGGGAAGTCCCCAGTGACTGGAAAAAGGGAAAC